TGGTGAGGAACTAAGATCCCATATGCCACAGAGTGTAGCCAAAAAAAATAAAAGAAACGAAGTTAATAGACATGATGGTGTATAGACATCATCTCCTCTGTGTCTCAAAGACTCTTAGTACCTAGATTCTGCAACCCTGGGAATGATTCTCTGCCTTTTAATGGGGGTTAATGAGAGCATAATGGAGACAAATGACTAACCACAGCTCAGCTGCCATCGCTCAGAGCAACATCCTGGCCTGTGCACCCAGATCCTTTTCAGGCAAATACAGTCCAGCCTGTGTATCCAGCATCGCAGGTACCACACACAGTTCAGAGCCTTGCCATCTGAATCCTCTGCAAATATATTACAGGATATATTTTTCCTGTATGTATGAAGGTTTCATCACTGCAAAGCTTCAAGGAGACCCTAATCGGCTGTAGAGACTCTAGTTTATTGTGAATGATCACACTGTTCAGCTGAAAGAAAAACTACTTTATTCCAATTGCTTCACACATTAAACCAGCTATTCAAAGGAACAGGCCAGGATAAATGTTTTCCTTGGTTTAATCAGTTTACAAGAATCAAAGAAAATCCTGGTGATTGTGCTTCTGTGTGACTTGCGTGTCAAGCCTAGGTACTCACGTGAGGAGGCTTGCATGTTACAGAGCAAGAATATTTTATGTATAGGTGTTCATTCATGGTATTTATTTTGTTCGGACCCAGTAGACCTTTTGCACCCAAGTGACCTCTTGCCTCTTCTCTCAGTAGTAGGCAGGGACTGCCTCCCTTACTAGATGGATTTAGTTCACCTCCTGGCTTGGAAATGTTCTCAAAGACAGTTAATCATCCATTCACAAAGTGTTTTTTGGCAGCTGGATTATCCTCCTCATTTATTAAATATATCCCCATATTGTTTTGAGCTATTTGCTCAAATCAAATCTTCCTTAAGAATTCAAGAATTGCCATCACTGATGAATTTATGCATGGACATCAAATTCTATAGCTGGCTCCTCAATTATAGTACTAAAAATCTTTTGTAAAATGGCAGTGTCACTGGCACTATACATTTCTATAGTTATTTTTAACCTTGTTGGAGTCACATATCCCCGTATGACAGAAGCTCTCTCCTCCCAGAAAAAAAATGAACATATGAATATAAACACACATTTGCATATCATTTCAAAAAGGTTTGTGGACCCCTGGAGTATATTTTGTGATGCTGTAGGGTTAGCAGCTTTTGTTCTAAGGGGACATTTTCAAAAGCAAGAGTATTTATTTTGATTTATAGTCTAGATATGTTGATTAAAAATTCAGTAGTATCATCATTTGTCATCACAACTTAAATCTATACATGTACTAGCCTGTGTAGACATGTGTGATTGACTGCATTAAAAATGACCTACCATTTAGCATTTCTGTCTTTAGAACTTTTGCTTGGCTATTCAATTTAATATTTGCATTTGAAAAAATTGTCAAATAGGACATTGACCTTAAGGATTTTCAAAGTCAGGATCTACATATAAATTTAATTTAAATTCTTTATTAAAGTAACATTGACTGAATCTCAGAATTAAGTGATAACTCTTCTACATTTTTTGAACACTATCAAATGATAATTTTTAGAATTAAATAAAATGTGAATCCAAGGTGATTCAAGAACTTAGTATAATAAATAACAAAACAACAACAACAACAAAGAATTTAGTATGTACAACTACAGTTTTCATGGTAGTTTATGGAACTTACAAAGGAAAAATAACCTCTTTTAATGACTATATACTGGATTTATTTTCCCTCTTTCTGATTATGAATAATGACTTTATATGCACATAGAACGCAGTTTTCATCACCTCCAAAGCAGAAAAGCTCCTGTCATTTCAAACCTTTGACTAGGTGTAATGTAATAGGAGCTATGGTTTAAAACATTCAGGATCGAATTTAGTCTGGCGGAGTTCACGAGGCTGGAAATTCACATATCTCTTTGAATAGAAAAACCGTGGTGGGAACAATCTTCCATAGGCACCTGGATTTTTGTGCATGCTGAATGTGCTTATATTTTCTATCTTCCTTTATTACTGTGGATAAAACAGAGGCGCAGACATGAAAGCGTTTCTGGAAAGAGACTCACATGTGAGACAAGATGAATTTGTGGCTTTGGTAATGGGCCATGTGATGTGAAATCTTTGTCATCACATAAAAACATGTATTTCACACAGAATATACTCAAATATCATATTTCTAGGATACATAGTTCTTTATATATTTTATTTCCAAAATCAGGGCATATCTTTAAAATTTAGAGTGTGTTATAGTTCATTTGGTCTCATCTTTTAAACTCTACACAAGATAATAGAGCAAATAACAACTGATGGTGTCTTGGATTCAATGAAATACATTGTATACATTAGAGCGCATAAGATCAGAAAGTGCCTTAGCAATGTTGTCGCAACTCCTCAAGGAAGTTGAAATTTAAGGGTCATTTAACTTGCCAAAGACACAGATTTTGTTGTCAAAACCGGCGTAGTCTAGTAATTAATTTTTTTAATATTTTCACCCATTTTATTTGACTCATAGCACCGTAAACTTATAAACTCACTGTAAATCACTTTTCAAAAGACCATTTCTTAGGTCATATTTGGTTCATGAAGCATAATGTTTACGTAAATTATAAAGTGTAGTGAGTTATTCTTAAGTATAAATGAATAAATTTTAACTGCCTACAAAATCTTGGATAATTTTGAAAGAAATGAGTGTTGTACCAGAGTACATATCAAATGATACCATTTTCTATAAACTGGTAAAACTAAAACACTTTCAAAATTAAATTTAGCCTGGTCCATATAGTACCTTTTTAAAATTGTTCATTTTCAGTGTTCATGTGGAAAAAGTATTCAAATGATATTTTTTAATTCATGTGTTAGGTTCAAAATTTAAAAGGCATATTTTAATGGGAACTGGTTTAAAACAGTTTGACTTGAGTGAGATAACAGTTTGGGAAATGTTTCTCTTCTGAAGTTTTGCTTCCAAATTTGGACTTTGAAATTTATTGTCAGTCTCAGAAAGAAATAAGAAGCTGTGCAGATAATTAAACATTTGCCTCGGGGTAATTATTTGCAGTTAATTAAAACCATACACTTTGGGTGTATGCTTGCTTCACTGGTTATTAAATCTGAATCATATGTTAACTACCCAGGTTTCTCACTTGTCCATCAAATGCTGCTAGTGGCAAGTTGGAGAAACAAACTTTCTCATCATATTCCAAATCATATTGTTTGAAGCTGTCTCCTCGTTTTGGGGGCAGGAGTACAAAAAAGTGGGTAAGAGAAACAAATCAAGAATGATTTGTTTTAGATTCCATCTGATTCAGCTCTGTTAGGGGTTAAAACACAACTGAGGAGCATGAACTCAATAGAGAAGCTATTTGTAAGTAACAGACGTGCTGGCCTGCCATCCCCTGCTCTCTCCACGGCCACACGCATACAAGATTAGCTCGTGGCTTTTTGGTATCTTTGGATTGCATTTAACCTCCAAAATCGCTGCAGATGGTAACTGCAGCCACAAAATAAAAAGACGCTTATTCCTTGGAAGAAAAGTTATGACCAACCTAGACAGCGTTTTAAAAAACAGAGACATTACTTTGCCAACAAAGGTCCATCTAGTCAAGGCTATGGTTTTTACAGTAGTCACATATGGATTTGAGAGTTGGACCATAAAGAAAGTTGAGCACTGAAGAATTGATGCTTTTGAACAATGGTGTTGGAGAAGACTCTTGAGAGTCCCTTGGACTGCAAGGAGATCCAACCAGTCCATCCTAAAGGAGATCAGTCCTGGGTGTTCATTGGAAGGACTGATGCTGAAGCTGAAACTCCAATACTTTGGCCACCTGATGCAAAGAGCTTACTCATTTGAAAAGACCCTGATGCTGGGAGGGATTGGGGGCAGGAGGAGAAGGGGACGACAGAGGATGAGATGGTTGTATGGCATCACTGACTCGATGGACATGAGTTTGAGTAAACTCCGGGAGTTGGTGATGGTCAGGGAGGCTTGGCATGCTGCAGTCCATGGGGTTTCAAAGAGTTGGACATGACTGAGCAATTGAACTGAACTGAACTGAACTGAACCACATGAAAAATATACACTAGATTGTAACCTCTTTGAGGGCAGAGATTTGTTTTGTTCACTGTTGATTCCCCAGTATCAAGAACCATGTCTGACGTAGAGTTGGCCCTTAATAAATACTTGTGGAATGAATGAAAGACTTATTTTCTGTCATCCTACTGATCTACTCACATGTTCTTCCCAGTGATTTTTGAAGAGCCTCCAGAGAAGTCTCAAACATCCAACAGGGGACCGTTTCCAGCTTTGCATGAGTCCATAAGTCGCTGGAATCCTTTTAGCCACATTATTTCCTGTGAAGTACATCATATGATTTAAGGGAAAAAAGTGAACTTATACTGATCCCTCCTTTAAATATGCTACACAAGGGAGAGGGTGAAGTTGCACAGAACAGAAGATCTGTGTTCCCCGTTTGCTATTGTTGTACTGATATAGTTCCTGAGGAAGGTGATTTTGATTACCACTGGATTTCAGAGCTCTACATCAGGCCTTTTCAAGGACACAAGGCTCCCATATATGCACAACAACAATAATGGAAGCATTAAGGACATTAAAATTATATTCCTTTAATCTTCTCTATTTTGCTTCCTTTCATTGTTCTGCACAATTCTCCTAAGACTTTCACTGATGCATAAAGCCTGCTTATATTTTCTTCTTTGTTGTAAAAAAGATGTTCCAACTGAATCCTTACCATTTTTACCTTGTAAACTTTGTGAAGACATCATATGTAGTACTCTAAGAAAAGCTTATTTATTGATGAAGATATTTAAGCATTTTAATGATTTTTTTTTTAAATAATAAAAATTTTTCCCCAAACAGGTATCTGTTCTTTGAGTGTTGGAGGCTGCTGTATTTCCTGGTTAAAAACACTGACTAAAGATTTTGTTTGTTTGTTATGTCAGATTCTGCAGAGGATGATAATATAACAAAAGACAGTGAAGCAACAGATCATTCTGTGTGTGACCAAGAGCATCCCAGTGGTAAGTTGTGGGACTTGTTTGTTTTCTGCTAAGGAATATTGCATTTTATAAAACCCAGATTTTAGTTTCTCTGGAATCTTGAACAACTCTGAGATTTAGGGATGCCTACCCTCCACACAGTCAGAAATCAGTGAACAACTTTATAGTCAGCTCTCCCTATCTGTAGTTCCATATCCAGTTATTCAACCAACCACAGATTGTGTTGTACTGTTGTACATATTTGTTGAAAAAAAATTTACGTGTATGTGGACTGCCTTGTTCAGACTTGGGTTGCTCAAGTGTCAACTTAGTTCATTAGTGCTAGATACCAGCTGATCGGTCAGTCATTCAGTCAGTTCAGTCACTCAGTCATGTTCAACTCTTTGCAGCCCCATGGACTGCAGCACTACAGTCTTCCCTGTCCATCACCGGCTCCCAGAGCTTGCTCACACTCACGTCCATCGAGTCGGTGATGCCATCCAGCCATCTCATCCTCTGTCGTCCCCTTCTCCTCCTGATTGATAGCTGACACATTTAGAAGGGCTGTTTGCTCTCCACAGTCCTTGTTGCTCACTAATTTTGTACCAGGATGGCTTCATTTATCTTTGTTACCTGATTGAGCTCTATAGGCATTGGATTTGTGACTGCTGCAAGGAAAATATGATACCAGTGAGAATAAATGTGAAACATGGAGACAGTAAAATCCAAGAGATTAAATTTGCATCTCCTTGAAATACCAAGAAAAGATAATAGAACAAACAGAAATGAAGCCATCTTTAAAGAAAGAAAGAAAGAAATATTTTCCTAATGTAAACCAGTTCCTCCACCCAAAGCACAAGAGTGCATGTTATATTTATAGGCAAAGGTAATGAAGAGTCATATGAGAACAGAAACCTACAAATCCTCATGGAATTTCTGAAGATCAATAATAAAGGAAGGCTTTTAAAGCATCTTGGAAATTCAAAATCAGTTTATAACTAAAATCACCAAATTCAAATTAGCCTTAGTCTTCTTCCACAACTCTAAATTCTCAAAAAAAAAAAAAATGGAGTAACATTTCCAGAGCTCTAACGGACACTGCATCTATTTAGTGAAGTTATTATTCATGCATGAAGTCAAGAGTAATATTTTCTCAGGAATAGAAGGATTAAGAAAACATGCTACCCAAAGTGTCCTTTCTGAAGGAACTGACAAAAGGCCTGTGCAAAAGCAATAAATACAGAGAGAAAGGAAACATTCAAAACTGAGAAAGGCACAGCCAGAAAGGACCATGTGATGAGACTCATTTAAACATATGAAGATGTTGGAGTAATTGTTTCAAAATTAGTACCAAAGAGCTTACTTAAATGGCTGCTTTTACCTTTGAAAATTATAGTATTATTTTTAATGAGGAAGAAAAAGAAGGAGACAGTTTTTCTTTCAGCAATGAGAGACTAAATAATGTAGACCATTACTCCGACTGGACAACCTGGACTATACACACACACACACATCTTTATATGTATATATAAAGATGAACATAGAGAGAATTTGAAACTATTTTTACTTTAGGGCATTTACTGTTTCTGCAAAAGCCATCTTAAAGTCCCATTGCTCAAAAGGGCCGTGATAATGTGATATTTTGGGTTGAAACCCCAAAGATGTATATCTCTGCAGGAAGGATGAAACAGATATAGATCAGCCTTCTGAGACTGCTGCTCAGCTTTAAATCATCTCAATCCCCAAATTAAATTGAGATCAAGCTAGATTGCCAGTCCCTTTAGGTACCTGAAAAAACCAAATGTAAATTATTTACTAGATGAAAGAAAGAGCATTGTAAATGCCAGAAAATGTAATAGCCAGAAAAAAATAAAGAAACAAGATAACATGTAAAACAAAAAGTCAAGAGTAGCAAAGCCACTTAGGCTGAAAATATTAATGTTATAAACCCAAAGTATAAAACACAAAGACCATGCAACCAGTTCCTCCACTGACAAGACAAGATTGAAAATTTTAGCTGAGAACTGAGAATTCAAAAGAGAAAAAGAAAAAGTCCAGAAGTAAAAGATGCCACTCTAAAATAAAGAATTCAGTGAATAGGTTTATGGCTTATTAGATGCAAATGAGGGCTTCCCTCGTAGCTCAGTTTGTTAAGAATCTGCCTGCAGTACATGAGACCCTGGTTCGATTGCTGGGTCAGGAAGATCCCCTGGAGAGGGAAATGGCAACCCACTCCAGTATTCCAGAATTTGTGAACTAAAAGTTAGGTCTGAAGAATATATCTAAACTAAAAAACAGGAGAGAAAGAACGGCAAACTAAAGAAAGGGAAAAGATGTCAGGATAAAATGACAAAGTCTATTGCACATATAATTGGAATCCTGGACAGGAAGGAGAGAGGGAGTTGGACAGAAAAAATATTTGAATAAATTTTGGTGAGAAATTTCCTACAACGAGAAGGGATATCAAGTCACATGTTCCAAAAGTCCTTTGAACTCCAAGCAAAATAAACCCACAGCCATCATAGTAAAGTTGCTGAAAGCCAGTGATAAACAGAACATCCAAAAGGAGCCATCGAACAATCAGACTGATAGCTGATGTTTCAGAAGACATGATGGAGATAAAAAGACAATACAACAGAGCTACTGCCACCCAAGAACTCCAAGCCCAGAGAAAAATGTATGTTTCAGGAGTGAAGGTTTGGACATCCCTGGGAGTCCAATGGCTAAAACTCTGTGCTCCCAATACAGTGAGCCTGGGTTCAATCCCCGCCCGGGGAACTAGATCACACACGCCACAACTAAAGACTCACATGCCAGCAACTAAGACCTGGCACAGCCAAAGAACTATTTTTTTAAAAAAAGAATAAAGGTTAATTAACATTTTGAGCAAGCAAGGAAAAGTGCATCACCAGAAAATTCTGGTATTCTTCAGGTAGGAGGATATTGATGACAAAAGAAATTATAAGATGACAGAAGGAATTATAAGCAAAACAAATGGTAGTTATTGGATAAGTCTAAATGAACAGTGATGATACAAGTCAATGATGATTATAATAAGAATAGTGTATTGTGGAAGTTAAGATAGACTTAGAATCAAAATGCGTGGCAATAATGGCATTTATTAGCATGAGATAAATTAAAGCATGCTAATATTTTTCCATTGTCATGGAAAATAGAAGCACCAATTCATATTAAAATTTGGTCAATCTCAGTGATGCCTGAGAGTTAAAAATGAGGTAAGCCCTGTGGTTGTCCCCACTGACTGTCTGGAGAGACTTTGCAGGCCACAGTGCACACTCCAGCAGACTTCCTGAGTTGATGAAAGAGAGCTGAGAGTGATGGAAGACCAAGCATCTAGCATTTCCCAGGCAGAGTCCTGAAAAAGCGAGAGCTCCACACAGGGAACACTCGAGAGACCTATAGAGTGTGTGTGTGCTAAGTCGCTTCAGTCATGTCTGACTCTGTGGGACCCTATGGACTGTAGTCCACCAGGCTTCTCTGTCTAAGGGATTCTCCAAGCGAGAACACTGGAGTGAGGTGCCATGCCTTCCTCCAAGGGATCTTCCTGAACTGGCATCTCTTATGTCTCCTGCGTTGGCAGGCGGGTTCTTTACCACCAGCGCCAGCCAGGAAGCGCAGAAACCTACAGAGGGAATCCTTCAAGTATTCAGTGGAATATTGATTGCACATGTGCAAGAGACGGGGTAAACCAATTAAAGGACTTGAGGTCCTGATATCCGGGGCTTCCTCAGGAGTGAGGAGGGTGCCTGTTCCCACTAGCCAGACTGGAAAACCTGAGAATGCATTGGGGGCTCTGAAGGGGTTTGCCTCAGGAGTGGAGCAAAACTAGCAATACACCAAATACTGCTCTTGTCCTCTGCAAGCCAGCTTCAAAACAAGGCTTGAAAGGATCAAACTGTTGGTCAATAACTTAACTTATCCTAGAATGAAGCTCAAGAACATTTGTAAAACTAGAAACATACTTCACGTCCTACAGAGTAATCAACAAAATTACCAGGCGTGAAAAGAAGTATTGGAAGACAAATCTTGCAGTTCTTGCATTTCTGCATGTTTTTTGAGCAGAGAGCTTGAATGCCTTTGTTTTGGCCAATTTTTTCAGGGATGTCTGTACAGGTATACCTCTGAGATAATGTGGGTTATGTTCCAGACCACCCCAAGAAGGGAATATGGCAATAAAGCCAGTCACATGAATTTTTTGGTTTCCCAATGCATGTGAAAGTTGGGTTTACACTATACTGTTGTCTATTACTTGTGCAATAACACCAGGTCTACAAAAAAAAAAAGCAATACATAAAGCTTAACTAAAAAATACTTTATTGCTAAAAACTGCTAGCTATCATCTGAGTCTTTAATGAATCATGACCATTTTGCTGGTGGAGGGTCTCACCTTGATGTTGATGGCTGCTGACCGATCAGAGTGGTGGTTGCTGAAGGTTGGAGCAGCTGTGGTAATTTCTTAAAATAAGACAACAATGAATTTTTCCACATCATTGACTCTTCCTTTCATGGACAGTTTAGCTGAAGCATGCAGTGCTGTTTGATACCATTTTACCCACAGTAGACCTTCTTTCAAAATTGGACTCAATCCTCACAAACCCTATCATTGCTTTCTCAACTAAGTTTGTATAATATTCTAAACCTTTTGCTGACATTTCAACAATCTTACCAGAATTTGATTCCATCTCAAGAAACCCCACTCCAGTACTCTTGCCTGGAAAATCCCATGGATGGAGGAGCCTGGCGGGCTGCAGTCCATGGGGTCGCTAAGATCAGACTCGACTCAGCGACTTCACTTTCACTTTTCACTTTCATGCATTGGAGAAGGAAATGGCAACCCACTCCAGTGTTCTTGCCTGGAGAATCCCAGGGACGGGGGAGCCTGGTGGGCTGCCGTCTATGGGGTCGCACAGAGTCGGACACGACTGAAGCGACTTAGCAGCAGCAGCAGTAAGAAACCACTATTTTTTGCTCATCCTTAAGAATTGCTCATCTGCTAAGGTTTTATCCTGAAATTGCAGCAA